AATTCAGGCCAAAGTTACAAGCCCATAACTATTACCCCTTTAAATTTTACCCTCCATTCGACCATTCCCCTCCATCTAGGCAGGGCCTAAAAAGTTTTCCCACTTGTTTCCCATAAAGTAAAATTGGGACCACTTGCTTTCCCTCCTTTTTATCTCTCCTAATTACATATCCTTATCTTTCATTAAACACATTCCAATCTTTGTCTAAGAAGTCCGCAAAACTTGGGTTTGTTGCGATTAATAAGAACCAAATAGTATAAATTTTTGTAAAAAATAAAAGAAAATTAGTAAAAATAAGTTTTAATCAGTAAAATAATTTTAGTTTGGTTGAAATACTTTCAATTCAGTAAAAATAATTTATGTTCAATAAAAATAATTTCAAGTTAATAATAACATAGATATCTACTTACAAACAAAACTACAAAAAGTATACTATTATATATATAAGTCATATGATGTCAACCTCACCGAACCCGATCCGATCATCCGAATTGACACCCATAGTCCTAATGCTCGGTTTTACAGAAAACAAGAATTACCGTAAATATACTATACGTTTTTTTTTTTGCAGGAAGAAAAAAGATTTAATTAATAGATGATATCAAATGGCAAATACTATACTTAGGCTTGTTTAGCTCACCTTATTTTTGCTGATCTGATCTAATCTAATTTGATCTGATTATCTGGTTTGACTAAATTTTGACCTTATGTGTACAATAATCTATATATTAAGTGGGGTCTTATTAGATTCGTAATAATGTGTATTTTACTAATATGTAATTTTCATAATTTTTTTCATTACGAAATTCAAGATATATAGCAATAAAAAATCGCACATAAAACGATGATATGATCATAATTTACTTTTGCTGATCTAATCTGATCCGAACTTATTTTTTCTGATCTAAACTTATTTTTTCTAAATTAAGTGAAAACAAGGTAAACTAAACATGGCTTAAGTCCTAACCATGTTTATAAAACACATTGTATTTTAACCCTTTAACTTTAAAAGGATACAAATACATTTGTTTCAAAAGAAGAAGAAAAAAAAAGGATGCAAATACATACAGAGTAATTTATAAACATTTTCCAAATAAATAAAGCTCATCACTCATACGAGTAGTTGGTTTTTCATAATGCTACAATGTAGATTAGTAGATGATGAGATTTGATCTCAGATAAGATAGTTGGCACTACCTTTAATAATTTAATCAATTAAATTAATTGACAATTGTGACATACACTTTTCATTTAATCTGTATATACTTAACCCAACATAAACTCCATATCTCTATTAATATATTAAAAGGCATTTCTAAGAACGTTCATGTGTCACGTAAACTCCCTCATTACACGTCACATCACCCACGTCATCTACTCATTATAAAAAAGGGCTTCACAAGATTTGAACACACAACCTCTAATTCTAAAACAAAGTGTCTTACCATCAAGCTATGTGATTTTTTTTTAATACGAAATATTAATAAGTAGCAAATGACAATATAAACAACAAATTTAATTATAAGAAAATTGAATCATAAATTACAACGTATATTCATGATCAGTTCCAAATAATAATCTGATTCAGGGTATCGCCCGAGCCCAAAAATTAGTTTTCATATTAATAACAAATTAGAGCATCTCTAATGGTAAGCTACAAGTGTTTATTTTTGATGCAAGTGTTTGTAGCTTACCTTGATACATCAAAATTTTAAGCTATTATATTTTTAAGTTACAAAGTGCTCTAATGTTGAACAATAGAATATCGTCACTCCAATGGTAAGCTACAAGTGTTTATTTTTGATGCAAGTGTTTGTAGCTTACCTTGATACATCAAAATTTTAAGATATTATATTTTTAAGCTACAAAGTGCTCTAATGTTGAACAATAGAATATCGTCACTCCAATGGTAAGCTACATGCTTACAATTTAATTAACGGAAATTTCACCATATACCACTGAGTTTAAGCATAATTCACCGTATACCACCAAAAACTTCCTAATACACCATATACCACTCAGTTACTGTATATTAACACAAAATGCCCTTTTTGCTAACTGCCGTTAGTCTGCTGTTTGGGGGACTTTACCATTATGCCCTTATACATCTAACTGGCGCCATTGATAGGGTTGACTCCCCCAAACATAATTTTTCTAGTTTGAAAAAATTGACCCCCCATTTCCCCTTTCCATTGAAGCTTCTCTCTGTTCTTCTCCATTAAAATCGAACCCCAAAATCAATCAAAAAGCTTCAAACTTTCATCGATCCAAGGTCGACGTTGCCAGTATGTTTTCAATTTGGGGCTTGTGATTGGAAAAAGAACGAACTTAGTGAAGTTTGAGAGAGAGGAAGTTGTTCTTGACTGAATTTCGGTCGTAATTCGCACCTGGGATCGATCAAGCTTTCTGAAGGTAAAATTATCCTTTTCAATTTGTTTTTCGAGGCCTGATTTTTCTATTTATTGCGAAATTGAGTTAGGGTTAGGGTTTGTTCGACATTGATTATGTGAGTGTGGTTGTTATGTTATTATGTGCGAATGATGTGTTGCATGCGATTTATAAGTAAGTTTGTTGTTAAGTATGATGTGTTTTGTATGATGTGTTGGTGTGTGTTGTTAATTTTTGTTGTGTATTATTCATGAATAGGATGAGTGCACTTTGGCTGTTAGTTCGTTCGCCAGGTGGTACTTTTGATGTTAGGGTAGATGATACTGATAAGACAAATTTGATGGAGTTATTTGAGTATATGTTTGAGGATTCAGTGAAGCAGAATGTTTTCCTCCCTAAGTACTTCACTTTGTTTGTGAGTAAACCTAGAACTAATCGTAAGTTGGAGTTAGTGGATGATGGGGCAATGTTGAAAATGTGGGAGTGGAATGAAGGGAAGGATGAAATTGAAGTGTTCATAGAAGAGACACAAAACCCATCTGTTGTATTTCAGTCTGCAGAAGCTAGTTGGGCTAGAACTGTGAAGAATAGGGCTGACCAAATTAGGCAGAAGGAGGAAGAGAGAAGGAAAAATGCAGAGGCTGAAGAAGTTGAGGAGAAGCTTAATGCTCAAGTACCATATACTGTTGCTGTAGAGGTCCCTGTTGTGAATGCAGAAGATGATGTGCTTGAATATGTGAGGGTATTCCACACTAGAACAGCTGATGAGTCATTTCCAGGAGATTCTTAGCCTCAACCTTCACAAAATGAACCATGTCAACCCTCAAATGAAAAAAGTAAGACACCATCACCACCCAAAAAAAATCCTAGAAGGAAAAAAGTAACTCCAAGGAAGAAAAAAACCCAACCTTCACAATCTACTCAACCAACTCAGCCTCCATCTCCACCAAATGTTTCTCAAGAGCACCCTTCTCCACCAACAACACCAACACACCATGCTTCCCCCCCACCCAGGCAACCTACACCACCACCCCCACCCAGGAAACCTACACCACCACCCCCACCCAAGCAACCTACACCACCCCCACCCCCACCACCACCTCAACCAAATACAGCTGCATCAAGGCAACCAACCCAAACTAGGGGTGCTTCTAGTTCTGCAGCAAAGCCTAAAGAACAAACAAGGGTTAAACCAGCTGAATGGAGGGTGCCTAGAAGCACAGTAAAGAAGTATGGTGTTGAGGTTGGGAAAAACAAAAGAGGAGGGAGGGAAATCAATACTAGGAGCAAAAAACCTATGCCTGTTCAAGAAACTGACAGTGAGTGTGATCCATGGCCATTTGATGATAGTGATGATGATGACTATGAATTTTCTGAAGATGAGGGTGATATGGAGATGGACTTGAACCTTGATGATGAATACATTGTGGAAGAGGATGACCTAGCTGATAACATACCAGAGAAGACATTTGAAGATTACCTAGATGGATCTCATGCTCTGGACAAGATGTACAGAAATGGCAAGGTTTGGGCTAACTTACCATTTGGGTCAATTAAGCTAGAACCTTGGTTAATCTTTGAAAACAAAACACAATTTCATGAGGTATTCAGAGATTTTTGCATACAAGAAGGCTTTGCAGTGTCAGTTGACTATGCTGATAATTACAAGTATACAGCTAGGTGTCTGATCAGTGACTGCAATTGGAGGATTCATGCAGCAGTTCTTGTTGATAAGGTGAGCTGGGCTATTAAGAAGCTAGAAGGTGAACATAGAACTTGTGGGAGGCTGGAAGAGAACCCCATGGTCTCTTCAGCATGGCTTTGTAGACAGTTGAGGCAAGACTTAGAGGCAAACCCAGAGACTCCAGTTGAATCATTACAAAGAATGTGCCTGGAAAGGTTTAGGATCCAAGTGAAGCTCAGATTGTTTTATAAAGTGAAGTGTTTAGCCAGGGAGCAAATTCATGATGGTTTTGCAGAGTCTTATGCAATTTTACCAAAATATGCAGAGATGATTAAAGCCACAAATCCTGGCTCATATGCTCTGATCACATGGACTGACAATGGGGTTAATGGTACCAAATTCAAGGCATGTTTCTTCTCTTTTGCAGCTCAGGTGAAAGGGTTCTTGAGTGGTTGCAGACCCATTATAGGGATAGATGGTGCATATCTAAGTGGGTATTACAAAGGAATTATGCTCACTGCAGTAGGCATTGATGGTAACAATGAAATTTTTGTAATAGCTTATGGATTGGTGGATACAGAGAGCATAGACAGCTGGTCTTATTTCTTCAGAAACCTAAGACACTGCCCAGAATGGTTGCCAGAAGGAAGAATGGACTTTTATAAGTGACAGGATGAGGGTTAGTGTCTTGCTTTTTTTTGTAATTCAACTTTGCTTCTCTTATGTGAATGGCCACTAACCAAGTGTTTAATCTTCCCTAAAGGGTGTTGAACCAGCCCTTTTTGAAGTGTTCCCAAGGGCAACAAAGAGAGTCTGCTGTCAGCATCTGTACTCAAATTGCAAGACTGCTGGATGGAGTGGGACAGAGTTCCATAAGCTATTTTGGATTGCAGCCAATGCCTATAATGAGTATGTGTATGACAAAGCAATGTCAAAGATAAAGAAGTATGATGCAGCAGCATTTGAGTACCTGACAAATATTGAAGAGCAGTGGACTAGGCACAAGTTTGACAGAGTTGTTTGTTGTGATCATAACACAACAAACTTTGTTGAGTCATTCAACTCAGTTACAAAGGACAACAGAGACATGCCTGTGTTCACTTTACTGGAAGGTATTAAATGACACTTTATTTCATGAGTTCAGTTGGTACTTTATTTCTTGTTCTGATATCTGTGAATTTGTTTGTGCTGTATTTGTTTTTTTTTTCAAAAACTAAACCAGCTGTCAGGAATTGGTGCATGAAAAGAATGGGTTCCAGGTTTGACAAAGCAATTGACATGGACCCTAATGAGCTGACAAAACATGCTAAAGAGGTTTTGGAGACAAGAAGTGAAGAGTCAAGGTTGTGCCATGTAACAGCAGCTGGTGGGAGAGAGTTTGAAGTCAGGGATGGCCATGTCAAGTTCCCTGTCACACTCCAGACTATGACATGTGGGTGTGGGAAATGGCAGGGATCAGGGATACCATGCAGGCATGGTCTTAGGGCCATCTACAGCCAGAGACTACATCCAACAGATTTTGTGTCACCATACTACAAGGGGGCTGCGTATAAGATGACTTTTGGAGACCATATCCACCCTATGGCTGATCCTACTCATTGGCCTGTATTTGATGTACCTGAAATTTTACCACCAACTGTCAAAAGAACTGCAGGCAGACCAGCTAAGCAGAGAAGAAGAGCCCCTCATGAAGCAAGGAAAGGAAAGAGGCACAAGAACAACAAATGCAGTGTTTGCAAGGAATTGGGACACAATGCCTTAACCTGTAAGGCAAGGAAGGAAGCAGCAAAAAAGGCACAAGATGCAGCAACCTCTTCACAGCAAGCCAAAGGAAGGGGGAGGAAGAGAAAGGCTGATAGTCAACAACCTTGAAGCTGCCATGCATGATGTGTCAACTTTGTTTGAGGATAATTTTTAAAATTTTTTGTTAAGTTTCTGGTTTTTTGCTCAACAAACTGTTAAGTACTTGGTTGTTTTTTAGGGATTACTATTTGACCTTAAGTGTTAATGCACAATTATGTGGCCATAATTTTTGGAATGATAATGCACTTTGATTACAATAATCATTTCAAGGCTACATATAACTAATGCACTTTGTTTACATTAATCATGTCAAGGCTACAAATACAATTAACAAAAACATAAGTACTCCTATTTTTATTGCTAGATCAACTATCTTTTGCTGCCTTACTACTCTTCGCTTGAGGTCCTGAAACATGAATCCCTCACGCCCAACTTTTATATAGACAAAGTAGCCGTTATCAATGTGCAACGGCTATTTTTTTTCAAAAAAAGTTACCGTTTTAAAAAAGTGGTATACTGTGAATTAACCTTAAACTACATGGTATATGGTGAAATTACTTATAAATTAATGGTATATGGTGAATTAGTAAAGTCCCCCAAACGGCAGACTAACGACATTTAGCAAAAAGGGCATTTTGTGTTAATATACAATAACTGAGTGGTATATGGTGTATTAGAAAGTTTTTGGTGGTATACGGTGAATTATGCTTAAACTCAGTGGTATATGGTGAAATTTCCGTTTAATTAAATTGGCAAACATGTCGTTTTTATATTACTATTGGAGATGCTCTTATATTAAAAAGAAAAAAAAATGTGTACTTACACCTATTCAATTTTTCATTACTCTGTTATAATTAGCAAATATTCCGTACTTCTAAGATTCTATTCAATTCATCTTATTTTTGTTGAATTGAAATTATTTTTGTCGAATTAAAACTATTTAAATTGAAATTAATTTTATTGATTAAAATATAAATTTACTGATTTTATTAGACTTTTTTTTAAAGGCGATTTTATTAGACTTAAGAATCTTAAGTTTGAACAATCCTAGTTCTAATTATATATACTACTTACGTATAATATATATTCTATAACAAATACTCGTATTATGAAACGGAAGGAATATTAACTATACGTCTGTAGTCTGTACATGAATATATGAACTCTGTCTCACGACCTTTATTCAATTAACACCCTTGGAATTTCTCTTGATTCATCCCACCATAGACAAGGTGGGCAACTCAGCAACTTTCTTTCTCTCTCTTCTTTCTTCCACTTAGCAGCCCTAGAAAATTTTCTCACTTGTTCATCACTTCGCCTTTCAATTTCGATGATCTCAATGTTGATTCAGTGACCAATTCAGGCGTTTCCAGATCTCAATCACTAATCGATCGACAATTGCCAATTTTCCTTCAATTTTCAGTATTTCCAGGTGAATTTAATTGTCAATTGCAATTTGGTTGGTTGAATTTTTAACTTTTCTGTTGTTAATTGGAAATTTAGCTGTTATGAGATTAATTTTAGGTTAAATTTTGAAATTATAGGCGTGATCTTAATTTTGTTTTTCATCTTTTAGATCTAATTCAAGTTTTTGCTATATATCTCCCCTCCATTGAAGCGTACTCTGAATCTTCCATTGTCAAATTCATTGCTTTCTCTTCAATTTCGATGATTTAAAATTAATTATGTTATAAACTGCAATGCTGTTGAATAATATTTATCTCTTTCTGTTGCTAATTGATTGAAAATTTAGTTGCTAAGAGATTACTTTTAGGTTAGATTTTAAATTTTGATTAGGGATTTTGAAAGATGATGACTAGGGTTTGGCTTTCTTTGTTTGTAAGAATTTTGTTTATGTGAATTTACATGGAATACTATGTTGTTGATGTAGTTAGTGTTGTTCGATTTCGGATCAGGTTGATTGATCTTGTAGGAGTGTAGTTCGTGGAAGGGGGAAGGAAGTGAGGGAATAAGATGGCAACTGGAAATCCAGGTCGTCCTAATGTCCCAGGACCACCGCCTGTTAATAGTCCCTTTGCAGCAGCTGCTCCCCCCACTACGAGTCCCTTTTCATCGTCCGGTCCTGTGGCCGGTAGACCAGATGGCCCTGGTGTTAGACCTCCCCCTCCCTCAGCTCCATCCAATGCAGTGCCATTTGCATCACCTGGCCCCATGGCGGGACCTCCAGTCCCTGGATTCAGGCCTCCACCACCTGTTGGTTTTACTGATCAAACTAGACCTGCTCCTCCTGGACCACTGCTGTCACATGCTCCGCCCACATCAAATCAACAGCAATTTTCAGCTCCGCAATATTCGGGGCCTCCGACAAATCCTCCTATTCGTTCACCTCCTGTTGGACCGCCTAACATGGCTGCTCCTATGGTACCTAATATGCCCCCACCTATCCAACGTCCTGGTGTTCCAGCTCCAACTCCACCCCTTACTTTCCGCCCCAATTCTCAAGCTCGTCCTGTCCAAATGACACCTCCTCCTCAACCTTATGCTCAGGCACCTCCTCAACCCTACGGTCAGGTACCTCCTCAGCCCTACGGTCAGGCACCTCCTCAGCCCTACGGTCAGGCACCTCCTCAACCCTATGCTCAGGCACCTCCTCAACCCTATGCTCAGGCTCCGTCTTCCCAAATGGCAGCTCCTCCACAACCTTATGCTCAGGCTCCACCATTATCATCTCCCGCTCACTTTGCACAGCAGCCTGCCTTTGGCCAGCCTCCCTCACAACCTGGTATGCCAATGCAACAACACTTATCTGCTCCTCCAACAAGTACTATGCAGGGTTTAGTAGAGGATTTCAGCTCTCTGTCACTGGGCACTGTTCCTGGGTCAATGGATCCTGGACTTGATTTTAAAGCATTGCCACGGCCGCTGGAGGGGGATGTGGAGCCAACTGTCTATAGTGAGATGACACTGAATTGTAACCCTAAATACATGCGCCTTACTACTAGTGCTATACCAAATTCTCATTCACTTGCATCAAGGTGGCATTTACCACTTGGAGCTGTTGTATCTCCACTTGCTGAAGCTTCTGAAGGGGTTAGTATCTATGCTGATAGTTCTATTTCAAATTTTACATGTCAGATACTGTGCTTGCTATATGCTTAACATGGAATTCCCTATCTGTTTTTAGGAGGAAGTGCCCATATTAAATTTTGGTTCGGCAGGTATTATTCGCTGTAGAAGATGTCGCACATATGTAAATCCTTATGTTACATTCACAGATGGTGGAAGAAAGTGGCGTTGTAACATGTGCGCCCTGCTTAATGATGGTAAGACAACTATAGGATTGCTGTTTCCACAATTTTTATGGTGCTGTGCACTGGCTTAGATCTTGATATTCCTCTCTAGTTGTACTGTTGACCTTCGTGATTCTTTCTTTCTTTTTCTTTCTTGTTTTTTTTCTTTTTTTTTTCTTTCTTTTTTTCCTAAAAAAAATAGGGCCTTTGTAGCTTGCAAATATTTTTCTTAAACTGATACTGAATGCTCTTTCCTTATGTCCTTAGTATTTGTGCTGTAGCAATTTATTTTTGAATTACCTATGATATTGTTGATCATTATACCATGGGGCAAAACATATTCGTTTTATATTCATTTTTTATGAGGGGAAATCTCTTTCAATTGTGTTATTCTTGTGTGGAGTACTTGCTTTTAGAGTCAGTGAATAGATCAATAGTTTCATGCACATATATTCCTTCGAGATTGTGCTGCCAGACCTTGCCAAGAGATTGATGCTAGCATTTTGCTGTTTTTTGTGTAGTCCCTGGCGATTATGTTGCCCCCCTAGATGCCACTGGCAGAAGAGTTGATGCAGACCAACGCCCTGAACTTATCAGAGGCAGTGTTGAATTTGTTGCACCAACTGAATACATGGTTCGAGCACCTATGCCGCCTCTTTACTTTTTCCTCATCGATGTGTCAGTTTCAGCAGTTCGGAGTGGTATGCTCGAGGTAAACAGATAGATCTATGGAAATAGCTTATTTTTCAATTTGTTTTACATGCTTCATAATGTCCTAATGATTTTGTTGTTTGCTGTTGATTTTCGTCGTCATTTTCCTTTTCTTTTCTGTACATCTGCTTCTTATAAATTATTAATTATTTCAATTATTAGTCTTCGGTGTCAATGAAGAAAAGAATTAAATGTGATGAAGTTTGATAGTGAAGCAGCATTCAGGGTTTTTATGAAGTTAATAAATGACTTGCCTGGTTGTTGGAAATTCTGGCTAAAATGTAGTATATTGAGAATTAAGGCCCATTTCTTTTGTTTGAAATGACATTGGGACAACAGGTTAGGGATTTGATCAATTTGAAAAGTGGATTACCATAGTGGATTATGTTTTCATGTTGATTGCACAAGATGCCCTAAAGAAGAGGGGAGCAGAGGGATGCGGAGCTGGAATAAAACATTAATTCAGATAAAAATGAAGGAGAGAAGGGGAGGGGAATAAAAGGGGAAATACAATGGACTTGTCCTTTAACAACGTGTGTGCTGTGGCCATTTTTCTCATGCTTTTATCTAGCAAAATTTTCATATCTACCTATCAAAGAAACTGAAAATTTTGTTATGCAATTTTCAATACTTGCAACTGTGGTCTATGGGTTGATGTGTCTGTATCTTGCAGGTTGTTGCTCAGACTATTAAGTCTTGTCTCGATGAACTACCTGGGTCCCCTCGAACACAAATTGGTTTCATAACATTTGATAGTACCATACACTTCTACAACATGAAGGCAAGTAGATGTTATCAATAGTGATTTAAGCTCTGGAAAAGGTTCCTTTTTTTTTTCAATTGTCTTTTTTGCTAATTCTTGCCTCCCTACTGTTACCAGTCTACTTTGACACAACCACAAATGATGGTAGTCTCAGATGTGGATGATATATTTGTCCCTTTACCAGATGATCTCCTTGTGAACCTTTCTGAATCAAGAAATGTTGTGGAGTCGTTCCTAGATAGCTTACCTTCCATGTTTCAAGACACTATGAATGTAGAATCTGCTTTTGGTCCAGCTCTTAAAGCTGCATACATGGTCATGGTATGCTGTTCTTTTTACTTCAATAGTTTATTTCTCTCATTTGAAAAATTCTATGCTCTTCCCAAGGGAGTGATTTGTCCATTTTTATATTATTTTTTTTTCTAGTACTGTATAGTTACATGATCAAAATTTACTTGCTTACAGAATCAACTTGGGGGTAAATTGTTGATATTCCAAAATACACTGCCCTCTATTGGAGTTGGCCGATTGAGATTACGAGGTGAAGACCCTCGGGTATATGGAACTGATAAAGAAGCTTCCTTGAGAGTACCCGAAGATCCATTTTATAAACAAATGGCGGCTGATTGTACAAAGTACCAGATAGGAGTTAATGTTTATGCGTTTAGTGACAAGTACACTGATATAGCTTCATTAGGTATGAGTTGCTCTCGATTGCGAACATAAGTGTGTCATTAAATTTAGTTTGTTCCCCTAAATTGCCATGTAGCTTTTAATGTCTATATTTCTACTCTTAACATTAGTGTATAGAAAACAACACATATGCCTCGTTATTTACTAAACTGCATATTAATAGCTTATTAAAATATGAAATCGTTTATGATATTCTTCTTCCTTCTCTATTTTTTGGAATTTAACTTTGTTTCATTTGATGTCACGGGAATGTTTCCTTGAAAATGAAATCAACAATCAGCATGATAGATTTGTTGTATGTGAAAGCTAACTTCTCACCTCTCCTGTAGGAACACTTTCCAAGTACACTGGTGGTCAAGTGTACTATTATCCCAATTTCAAGTCAACTGTGCATGGAGACAAGTTGAGACATGAATTGGCTAGAGATCTCACAAGAGAGACTGCTTGGGAGGCTGTTATGCGCATAAGATGTGGAAAAGGTCAGTTTAAATTTTATAATTTTACATGCCTTGTCAATTCCTGTGTATTTATATCACCTTTTCTGATCTTTGACTTGATATTCATAATCTGATTATAATCTTAAATGCAGGTGTAAAATTCAATTCTTATCATGGCAACTTCATGTTGAGGTCTACAGATTTGATAGCGCTTCCTGCTGTGGACTGTGATAAAGCTTTTGCCATGCAATTAGGCCTAGAAGAGACATTACTGACGACTCAGACCGTGTACTTCCAAGTTGCATTGTTGTATCCTTCAATCTGTGGATTTAGATGATTTCTGTCAACTTTTATTGGGGTATGTTTTGCAGATTTTGAGCACATTTTGGATACGGGTTTTTTCTTGTTATAAAAATGAAATCAACTCTAGCAGCCTACCTGATGCCACCATTATGGAAGTAGTGTCTTCACATCTTATACTAGGAAACTCTGCATATTAAGGCTTCAGTTTGCATCTTGTGTCTGTATGTGTGTGTGTTGTTGGGAGTGGGGGTTTGGGTTGGGTTATTAGGGATAATGGTGTTATTTTCCTTGACAAGTTTTAGATATACTGCATCATGTGGAGAAAGACGCATTAGAGTACACACAGCTGCTGCACCAGTGGTTGCTGATCTGGGAGAGATGTATCGAAGAGCTGATACTGGTGCTATTGTTTCAGTGCTTGGACGGCTAGGTACACTAAAATGCTTTTCTTTTTTTTTTTTCTTCATGTTTCTATTTGCCTAATAAACATTGAAGATGTATTTTATTTTCCTGGGGTATGATTCTCTAAGCGTGAAATTTTCTTCGCAGCAATTGAGAAAACTTTATCCAGTAAGCTGGAAGATGCACGATCTTATGTGCAAATGAAGATTGTCAAGTCCCTCAAAGAATATCGTAATCTGTATGCAGTACAGCATCGGTTGGCTGGAAGGATGATCTATCCAGAATCATTGAAGTATTTGGCTTTGTATGGTTTAGCACTTTGTAAGTCAATGCCTCTTCGTGGAGGGCATGCAGATGTTCAACTAGATGAGCGTTGTGCAGTTGGGTCAATAATGATGACTTTGCCTGTTAAAAGTCTGTTAAAGTTTTTGTATCCCAGCTTGATTCGCGTGGATGAGTTTCTACTAAAGGTATTTTCAGGCTATTTGCAGACATTAGAAAATTGCATAATGCTGTTGATATGGTCAAATATCTAAGCCCTCTGATTCATGTCTTTTCTATAGGCATCTTCTCCAGCCGCAGACCTCAAGGATGTTGAAAAACGTGTACCTCTGACAGCAGAAAGCTTGGATCCTCGAGGACTTTATATATTTGATGATGGTTTACGCCTTGTTATTTGGATTGGCAGAATGTTTCCTCCAGATTTGGCTGCGAGTTTGAATATAGATTTTGCTTCCGATCTTTCACAGGTACTTTCTTGTACTATTGCTTAGTTCTGTTGTGTCCGGCAAACTATGTCGAATTGTTTTTGATGTTTTAGTCTCATTTGGGCTTGATGTTCGTAGTTGGCATTAGAATTGTTTATGGCGTTTTGAGTTTATGAACAACGAACCTAAAAGATTCGAAAAGACAATGCAAAGTTTTCATATTATGTTCAATTTAACTCCTGGTCGGTCTAAATACGTCCTTTTGTCCTGCATTGCTAGTTAAGTCTAACTAACACTTTTAAACCAACAACAATGTGTGCACACAGTCGTTAATTTTCACGTGCTTCATTAAATGAGATCAGGTTGAAATTAGGAGAAGGGAAAATAATTTCAGAAGTGATAATTATGTAGCCATGCTGATGACTTTGACTGAGGTATGCAAAGCCTCTATAGAGAAATTCATGGAAATTTGTGTGAGTTGTGTCTAAATGAACCCCCGTTATTTGATTTAGTTATACTGATTTCACTCATGAAGATGGCTAAAAAAAATATTAAAGTCAAATTTCCCATTTGATTCAAGTGGGTGTGATTGGCAAGATTTATCTTTATCTAGGTTTAAAAATCAGGGTTCTGAATTGATTATTGGATGTGGTTGAGGATAAGGATTAAGGACTGTCTCAAATTGCAGGATTTTATTTAAAACGATTCAAAAGAAATAGATTCTGAGTTTTTTGTGTGTTGTCCCATAAATTATTTCCCATCAAATAGTGGAACCATGAGAAGATTTGACCAACTTTGTCAATTGTTATAGCCTTTTTTTTTTTTTTTTTTTTTTTTTTTTTTTTTTTTTTTGTTGGGGGGGTGGGGGTGGTAAAGGAGAAACATTTGCCTCATCATTTTCTATATCCCCAATAGTTTGGGTGGTATTGCTTCTTGTGGAAAACATCAGCCTCATCATGTACTATATCCCCGATAGTTTGGGCTAATTTACTTTTTGTGGTGATACTGGTTGCTCCGTTGTAATTTGTAGGCACTTGGCTCTGTGGTGGATCTATGTTTCTGTCAATGGCTCTTTGAATTTGTCGCTTGAATTGAAAATTCTATGCTGTTGTGTTGCTAGTTGTAATCTATTTATAGTTATTATAATCCAGAACTATTTGAACACTGATGGCCTTTCATATTTGCACTGTAAATTATCAGGTTAACCTTAATGAGAGTGACAATGCAATGTCAAAGAGGCTAATGGGGCTAATTAAGAAGCTGAGAGAAAGTGATCCTGCTTATTATCAGCTTTGTCATCTTGTAAGGCAAGGTGAACAGCCCAAAGAAGGGTTTTACCTTCTGTCAAATCTTATCGAGGATCAGACGGCTGGAACAAGTGGCTATGTAGACTGGATTGCACAAATTCATCGGCAGGTCCAGCAAAATTAACAAGCAGATATATAAGGTTTGTGTGGCAATGTTACATTAACTTGTATTGTATCTTTTACTTAATACATTGATATGATATTTTCTTGGTGGGTTTAACATTTATATGCTCATCTGATGTCTACCTGGTGCAAATTACATTGTACACTCAAAGCATGATACGCACCATGCTCCCAAAGAACATACAATTTAAAACAAAAGAATGTACATCATCTTCAATAGCACATTAAAAGAAAATAAAAGAGCATGGAAGTTTGGTATTATTAAAGAAAATTAACAGGGAGCATAAGCTGTGTATTATCAACCAACTTATGCCTGTTTGTTCTCTAACCCCCTTTCAATATACTTCCTCTGTTTTCGTGTACTTGCATCACAACCTTTAGGCACGTAGTTATAGGAGGTGATTAGTGAAGGTAATCGAACGATTTTTTCAAAAACATTTTAACACTAGGATTAGAGAAGGGTTGAATACCACGTGTAATAATTATCTTGATTAATTTGGTCGTTTATATTATATAATTTTGACCTCAAAGTGCGTGCCGCAAAGCTGTGTTGCTAGTATTTAAAAACGGAGGAAGTACTTCACAGCTATGAAAATGTGGTTTCAGAACAGCTTTAGCAGCATTTAATGACTGTAAACTTCAGCACTGTTGTTAGTTACTAATTTACTATGTACTGTATATGTTTTGGGGATTGAAACTTCAATCAATATCATATTGGGAAGGCATATGAAGAGAAAAGTGGTGCCTCTGCATGTCCTTTTGGATTGTTCCATTTATTCACTTCATTATTCTGCATATTATCTTAGAAATCCAAATATTTTGATCAATTTTCAATCCTTTGCAAATCTGGCAAATAGTACCAAATATTTGTTAGGATTAGCATCTTTGTTGAAGGCGACAACTGAAAGAATTAGGTTGTCATAGCATTCTTTGTAGCAACTTAGAGGAACACCATTGATTTCATACAAGCAACTAGTTTATAGGCCCGGGCGATGCCCCCGAGTTAATACATGAATTACAATAATTGTGAATGGTATTCATGGTTCAAATCTTGTCTCATAATAATTGCGCATGACATTCATGATTCAATCCTACTTTTATTGATTTATTTGTATATTATATTGTCATACAATAATTTTTTTTGCAATTAAAGACATATTAAGACATAGTTCAATGGTAGTTTCTATTATTAACCTTGAGATCAAGAGTTTGAATCTTATATAAATCATATTTTTAAAATTTTAAATGTGTAATGACATGGAATAATAGCCAATAAAGAAAGCTGGGAGAGTGTCATGTGGCATGTGGATTGATTCAAAATGCTTTTTGTGATATAGTATAGATTCCCGCGTATATTATTTTTCTTTTTTTATTATTTTTTTTTCTTTGCTGTTGTTGCTGCTGCTGTTGTTGTGTGTCCATTTGGTGCAGCTGAAGAACCATATTTGATCTCTGATTGGTAGAATCTTAGTAAATTCTAGTGCACTATAACAGCAGAGGCTGCTAAACGGTCGTTTTGTATGGGTTAGTGTCAACCTTGGATTGGGTTTGGGTTTGGGTTATATTGTTTTGGGTACGGTTTGGGTCAGCTTTGGGTTATATTGTTTCGGGCACGGTTTGGGTTATTTGTTTTGGGTACGGTTCGGGTCAGGTCATTTTTAGGTAAGGTCCAAGTTTGAGTTGGGTCAGTTAGGTATTATAGGTAGTCTTGTGCATAATTTGGTTATTTCATTAATTTGAAGAATAAAAAGTTGTGTATCATCAATAGTGGCTATTAGCGGATGATAATTTTGTTGCACTATGTTATAAGTTAATTCTACCTGGAGATAACATTCACTGTGTATTTTCCTACATACAATGTATTACATATGCTGTGGAATTTGATATTGTGCATTTGTGCTGTCCCATGGTTGATTCAATTTTTAGATTTGATTGGGTTTTGTCAATTATGTTTCACGGTGCGGTGCAACCATGCAAGGCATGATGGGATTTATGTTCTTCACTTACTTTCCCCTCTTCCAACCCCATCTCCCTTGTTCCAAAAGCACAAGGAAAAGCAGGCAAATTTCTGTTAAGTTTTGGTTTCTGAACCTAAGTTTACTTTTTGTAGGATGTATCATATGACAAGAAGATATCTTCAACCCTCAAGAGATCAATTTTGACTGTAGCAAGCTGCACATCATGCCGATCATGGTTAATATGTGGGCTCTACGACATGGTCTTCTCTACTTCTCAAGGGCGCCCTGCTACAACATACTCCTCTCAAGAAAGCTTGCTATTGGAAAGTGATGTTATGTTGAAGGTACAAGTGACAGCTGAGATTTTGTGAACAAATTCTTTTTTTTATTTTATTTTTTTCTTGTTAATTTATTAGGAAAGGTAAACGTTAGTGAGATCATAATTTTCTTTTTTGCAGATTTTAATAGCAAATTTTTCTTTAATATTTTTTTAGGAAGCATATATAATCCCTATTTTGTGTGATCATATCTTATTATCTTGTTGGCTTCCTCAACATTTGCCTCTTGTTTTAGAGGGTGTTGTGAGGTTGGACATACAATAAATGTATAACACTTTTCTCCTTTCTTCAAGGCTTTTAACTGGAATTCTTTCGTTATAAAACAAATCTCGTTTAGTACACTTTTAGTTTTAACAAGAGATTTATCAACAGAATTGATAGCAACGGATCATCAAATGCCCCCATGAATATTGTGGCATGACATAGAGCCACCGTGTGGGGGCATTTGATGATCCGTTACGTGCTGTGGGCTGTGCCTTGCCAATGGGCCATTAGAGTCACAGGTTTATATTAATGCATTGACAGGACCATGACATAAAAACTAGCTCTAAGCTCTTAGAATAAGTGGACCTCTTTTGCATTTACAATTATTGAAGCATATGTACACCAGAACTTGACAAATGCTCAAAACAACATTAAGGGTCTCATCCATGTCTTCTTTTTTGCTAATTTAAGCTTCGGAACTTGTCTTTTTATAAGCTGGCATTCCATTCATACGTTGTTACTCCGTGACTCTCTTAATCATATAATATTATATACTTCAACCATATTGTCATCTCATCGAATTTTATCCTATAAAAAAAAAAATGTTTATAATTTGGATGAAAGAAAATAGCGTGTTAATTGGAATACGCTTTTGTTTTTGACTAGGAATAGTTGAGATGCAATGTCTCACCTAAGAATCATCGTTTGACCTAAAAGTATGAACATTCTCACAAAGTTGTTTAGATCTTTTATACCTATTAGGAATTTTGTTTTAACATGTTATGTGTTTAAAGTGAGAGTGAAGGATAGCTGGTGCCTGGTGGTTAGAGCTTCCTTATGATTGTAGGAGATTTAGGATCGATTAAAAAATGTGTTTAAAGTAAGAATGTAAGACACAAATTGAGAATTTTTTGAGAAAGAGTGGGGGCATTCTCATGAAACACTCAGTATAATCCTTTTTTGCTTGCTTAACTATGCTACTAAGGTATTTTGTATTAACCCCTAACAAGAAGTAAACTGATTTGATTTTGCGTGTCATTCTGTATAATGATATAAAGCAAGAATAATACGTAGTACATTTCGATTGCTAAACATATAATTCGTCTAAATGTTTTCGTCTTTGATTCTCATTATCGCTCATTACATACCTTTTACTCTATAAGGTGATAATATATAGACAGCCGAATTATATCATGTACGCTTACATTAAATGCATATCGTATATGAAGTGTAAATTTATTGTTAGAGTTGTTACCGTCTTAAGTTATAAGTTATGACCTTTTAATAATGAACGAGCCATAAGTATAATTGTATTAATCTCGTCAGAGTGGCTCAAACCATCGAGGGATTTTTAGTTCATCAAGACTAGTCGTCTTAAAATATCATTAGTATCAGTCAAACATCATATTATTGGACTTGTGCATAAAGTGGGTTCCATACTTTTTATATGCATCAATCATCTAGGTTAGAGACCAACTTGAGCAATTGTGTGTGGAATAGATAGTTTCTATTCACTCGTGATCTTTATCAATTCGTAGTATTTTTTTGCAGATATTTTTAAATCATTCATTGAATTTTAGCACCCATGTACTTCTTAACTTCACAAAATCTTTGTTACTCTGGCCCTCCATTTTATTCAGCAAAATTTTGTGGATGTCGAATATTAATTATTCTTAAATTTTAATATATACGGAGTACTATGAATGGTTTAAAATTTTATCAAGATATGTGTTTTTTTTTTTTTTATTTAATTTTTTTTTACGAAGATATGTGTTTTATACTATGGGTCAAGAGTTGAGAGTATGATATTTTCATAGACATTTACATTATTTGGGGTAAATAGAACGGAAAATTTAGGTATATTTGCTTAATTATAATTTGAAACTAAAGGGTCATACTTAAAATATTACAAAACCTTATATACACTCAAATGCACTATGTATCCGAGTTATATAAAAAAATTCAAAATAATGCACATTTAGTTTGGTTTTTGTGGATCTGGACTAGATAGGATAGCATACTTCCTTGGGTAATTTTTTTTTTTTTTTTTAAAAACCATATGAAAAACATGAAAAAATTTCAACTATATATGAACCTATATTCCATATTTCTACCTTTGTATGTTAGTATAACATCATTCCAAAATAAAAAGCTAGAGAAAAAACTCATCAATTATGAATAAAGAGATTGTCTTTTGTGGTTGGAGCACTTGGAGGAATATTTAATCATAGACCAGTAGAACATGTGACTATAACACTTACTAAATTGGAAAATTTATAAATTACTACCTTAAAAAGAGGGCCTTTAATACCCCTAAAAAAAAGTTGTTGATTACTACCCCTAAAACCAATTAATTCTAATAACTACAACTCCCTCCGTCCCCGAAAGAACGACCCTTTTGGGTTGATTTCGCGGGTATTAAGAAACATAGTTGGAAGTATAAAAGTGTATGGGAAAACTAATAAAAATACATTGAAAAGGGAAATTTACATGGGAATTGTAAAAAAGTAGAGAGAGAAAGTAATAAAAGTATATAAAAAAGCAAAATTTGCATGGGGAAACTAATTTTGCACAAATATTATTGCAAATTGGAGGGTATTTAAATGCAAATGGGATGAACATTTTGGGACTAAAATTAGGCCAAAAGTGTCGAACTTTTGGGGACGGAGGGAGTATCTTTTTCCCTAATCAGCCTACTTAATCATTTAATGACATCATTATCCGTCTAAATTGTAATTAATAGCTTTTAAACCTTAATTAATTAAATAAACCCTTGCACCACCACCACACCACTATTGCACCACCTCTAGCAGCCCCCTTACCACCTCCGGCAGCTCCCCCACCGTGAATCTTGTTCCCCTTATGATCCCCTAGCGCGAAAACCACCCCTTCCGTTCCTCCACCACAAAATCCAATCTAATCCCCAGTCGCTCCCCCGCCACGATTACTACCTCCCTCCCGCTTCCTACCACAATTTCCACCCCCACCCCTTCCCCTACCATGAAACTCATCCCCCTTTTGTTCCCCCACAACGAATTGTAGCTCCATCACGTGGCTGGGCTGTTTCCAAGGCTTGGGAGAATGGGAGAGGTGGTAATCGGGGTTTGGGAAAAGGGAGGGGATAGGATGGGTTTTAAGGGTAGGGGCAAAGGGAGGGGCAATAATTGCAGTGGGTTTGCGGTGGGAGAACGAGAGAGGGTAGGTTTCGTGGTGGATGACCAAGAGGGGGATGAATTTCGGGGTGGGGAGCTGCCAGAGGTAGTAAAGGGGAGTTGCCGGAGGTGGTGTGGAGGTGGTGCTAGGGTTTATATAATTAATTAAGGTTTTAAAGCTACTAATTACAATTTCATTAAATAATTTTGTCATTAAAATCCTAAGTAGGCTGATTAGGGAAAAAGGTAGTAGTTACTAGAATTAATCGGTTTTAGGGGTAGTAATTAACAACTTTCTTTTTTAGGGTAGTAATTCACAAAGGCCCTATTTTTGAGGTAGTAATTCACAAATTTTCCTAAGCTACTAAATTACTACTTTCTACTGTAATCATTATGCAAGTTTATGGACATAAATTTAGGTATATAGTAATAATAGTGAGCGAGTTTGTTATTTTTTTAATTTAATTTTCATCATGTGAATAAATAGTACATATAAACATCGTAAATTGATTTTAAATGTATCAATAATTTATATACCAACCAAATCACTTTATGACTCGTGAAGATGTGTAAAACAGTGAATTTGTATCCTTAAGTATCCATTGTTATAAATGTACAAATTCACGACGCCTCAATAATTATTACCCCAAAAGCATGTGGTGGCCAGGGTAGAGGCGTTGTGGTGCATATATTCACATGAGATACTTTATACTGAGTCCTGTATATCATTTAATGATCTTGCATAAAATGATCAATCAAATGGACCTAAAAAGGGTATTGAATTCCTTTTACCCTAGCATGTACAAGAAGTAACAAAAACAGAAAAAACTAACTCTCCATGTATAAGCCATAAATGGCACCTGAAACAAAGAAAGTATAAGGAGAAAGCTAGGCTAATTTAACTATTAATTTTTTGTTTTTAATGAAAGCTAGCTAGCACTGAACCACTGAATTATTGAGGCTACCAGATATAGCCCGACATATTTTATCTATAAGACTATTAATTCATTACAAAAACGTATCTATGAATTTTATAGCCTCTTGTTTGTTTGCAAATTGCATTGTCTTCTCAATTTCATTAAATTACTTAGTAGTTTAATTTGCTAGGGTGTTTAATTAAGTCACTTATAAAAACAAATACTGTTAAGCCTTGTATAGCTAATGGGCCTAGGTTACCGGGCCCTAATCTCTTGTTAGGTTGTATGTATATTTACTTGCTCATACAGTAATACAACTAAGGAAAATCAATTCCTGACATGGTATTGGAGCCTCTAAATTTCTAAACCCTAATTTTTTTTTTTCCTTTTCTCACTAAACCCTAAAAAAAAAAAAATATCTTCTCTTACACTCTACGCTTGATCAACAATGGTGGATGAAGGCAAGATTGGTTCTTCTTCTTCTTTCTATAATCAACAAAGTACTTTGAAGTATGATAATTCTCTATTGAAACAACATGATAAGTCGCGTTTGTTTTGTACCCACTGTCATCGTATAAAAGGATATATGTTATGTAATTAGTACAAAATACAATGTTGAGTTATTGATATATTCCCTCTGTGGCTCTGTCTTGTGTCTTCTGAAGATAGGTTTAGTTTTTGGACATGTATAGACTATTAACATGGAAAAATCATTACAAATGGAGTTACTCTAGTTTTTGAAAAATCTTTAACTTTTGAATATAGTTTTAATGTTAGGAGTAGTAAAGAAGAAAAAATTAATAGAAGTTCTAAAAGAAATTTATCTATTTGCATTGTACATTCGAACTTAAATGAATCTAAGCAAATCATAAAATATTGAACATCATATCAATTATCAGGTCTTGTCATCTTGTGATGTTTAACATTCATGTGTTTAATTGTAACTTGAAGCTTTAAAATCATAAGAATTCCAATGAAACACCGGCTCATTTTCAAAGCAAAACCCTGATGTACAATAGAAATAAATTAAATTTAGATCATATTTAATTCGCTAGGCAAATTACGTAAAAATCAAACATCTAAACATACCAATAAGATAGTTTAAAATTAATTAGTCTCGCTCTTACCTTGAATATTTGAATGAAAAATAAACCCAAATGTACGCACACCACATTAATTATGAAATTTGAAATAGAAGTCAATCAATACATTTCCTCTGAAATTTTGTGAGAACTTATTTGTAAACTTGCTGTCAACCCAATTAACCAAATAATCACTACAGTAATCCTCAATTATTCTTATCCAATTAAACCACATAATTAAAATTGTACATGCAATTAATTAATTAATTAATTAATTAGAAGATTTCACTAGTAGGCTAAGCTAGTAGCCAATGTAGTTAAAAAGGAGTGCTTCTAATTGAGACAACTAAGGTGATATTCTAGTAGCAAAGACCCCCATTTATATCTTTTCACTTCCTCTAGTAATTTTTGTTAAAAAATTCTATTCCACTTTTTTTGTTATTATTTTTATTAATATTTTTTTTTAAATGTACAATTTATTTAGCTTTTCCAAGTGTTTCTTAAGGACCAGTGTAGCACATGGGTGCTAATTAATTTTTTACACAAACTTACAAACAAATCCTACTCATACATATTTAACCCTTTTCATGACTCCACCCTTTATAAACACACCAACACAACCCCTATTTCCCTCACTCAACAACTAACCTTCTTTCAAACCCTTACAATCCCTTACCTTAAACTACATCCCCTAACCAACCCTCATCATGGCTACCACCACCAAGCTCATCGCGGCCATCCTCATCCTTTCCCTCGTAACCCTATCACCCGTATGCAACGCGTGTTGTGGTTGCACTACTCCCCCACCCGTTACCCCTAGCACGGGCAAATGCCCTATTGACACACTTAAACTTGGTGTATGCGCGGACGTTCTAGGGCTAGTCCATGCCGTGATTGGTAGCCCACCCTCTGGTACTCCATGTTGTGCCCTAATCAAAGGTCTTGCTAACCTCGAAGCCGCTCTTTGCCTTTGTACTGCCATTAAGGCTAACATCCTTGGCATCAACTTGAATGTGCCTGTTACCCTAAGTGTTCTCCTTAGCGCTTGCCAGAAAGATCTTCCAGAAGGATTTAAATGCTAATTATTTTAAGTTGTTCAATTTATTTATGCATGGAAAATTACAAGAAAAAAAAATTAGTAGATTATAAGAGAGTGGATGATTTTTAGCTCTCATATAATATTCATTTATGTATTCATAATTCATGCATACCTAGCTTATAGTAAAATTATATATAAGTGTTCATAATATTGTGAACATTGATATATAACTATATTTGCTAGGTTTTTTTTTTTTTCTTTTTTATTCAACATTATTGCATGATTTGCTTGTATTATTAATTTCAATGTACTATTTACTGGATTTTTAATTTAATCATGTTATTGTTATATTTTTATTTAATTTTGTTAATAGGTGTTTTTGTTTTATTGTGATTTAATTTTGTGTTAAGAGTCCCCTTGCTACATGCACCAGTGATTCAGTGCATGTGAATTGTTTCCAGTAAGATTTTCTGTGTTCATTGACCCACATATATTTCTATCGTGAGTGGTGTACGTGTATGTATCTAATGTATGTACAATATTAAGCTTTATTTATTTTGTTTGAGCCACTTTCATTATTTGTGTTTGGTACGTTACAAAAGTGACAAATCAAATAAAATGACAATGGAAATTTGGCATATAATGTGGTTCTAACAACGTTTGGTGCATACTTCGTATAACATATACGTGAGTTGTGAGTATATACGATACTTCGTATGAGTTTTCTATTTAAATAGCGACGTTTTTATATTAAATCTATTTTATGTGGATTTATAACAAACAGCTTTTTTAAAAAAAATTAAAAAAAATTAAAAAATATGTATGTTGTTTTCTGAATTTTTGCATAATACCCTAAAAAGGCAACATCCTTGAGTCCTTAACTTAAAAATAAAATTATAATGAAGGATAATTTGGACTGCATTAATATACTAAATACAGTCATATATGGTACGGTAGAAAATTAAAGAAGTTTTGATAATAGGGAAATTAAGATATTGTATCTATATTCGTTGAAAGAATTTAAGTGAAATTAAATCAAATATGGTGACCTATAGGCTCTAGGAAGAGACTAATATGTGTGTTCAACACCAGGAGTGGTTCGATACTAAGCTAGATTAGGTACTAAGCTGGATTAAGGACTGTAATTAAATCCTTTTAGCGGTTATGAGGGATCATGTTAGGATGATAGAGATGATTGATGATATGGGAGTTGACAGGTGATAGAGATTTGGTTGATTAAAGGTAAATACGGAGTGGATGCCAAAATTGATAATGCTAAAATGAGACTATTTACTTCATATTTAGATTGAGACTGATGGAATGTCTAGGGTTGGCAACATATTCAATTGCCAACATTATACAGCAATTTTCCATCTCATCAACTGATGATTCCAGACATACATATTTTTTATAAGAGAAATTATATTGGTCTATTTTTTTCCATGCAATCAACTAGTTGAGACTTAGACTTACTCATAATAATGATTAATAATTGTCCATTACACCGTAGTATGAAAGCTATATTGTTTTAAAAACATGCTCCGTACTCCATAGTAAGTGGCTTATATGATGATTTCACTATCATGCTATCTTAGGCCGGCACGTGTAACTCATGCGTAAATGATACTCGCCAACCTCTCAATCACATGCACAATTAACTATCGTATGTGTGTTCGTTGTGTACCTCAAGCGCGATTGTGCGAGCACCATGCTCGGTGCTCCATGGTGCTCGAGGGTTGTTCAATATATATTTGCCCCGCCAGGTACTACAAGATTAGACATAAAGAAAATAGTAACAAAAAGGTCACTTGCACCTTTTTATTTTTATTATTATTACAGACATGTGATCCTCCCTCGTTCTTTCATGTCTCTCTCACCTTTCACCTTGTTCTTGTGACCTTGTCCGTTGCTACTTGTGTGAGTTGTGTCTGTCTTACTCTCACAGTCTCACTAACAAAATTTTGAACATTATCTCCCTAATAAAACCTTAAGTTCTACATTGAATTTTTTGCTTGAAATTAAAGGCGAAAATAAATACCTATCTTACTCCTTTTTAATTTTCATTATAATAACTTGAATTAACCATTCCGGCCATAACTAGCTAGAGATTTTAATTTGCATTAGCCTCATATCATCCATATGTGATCAACAAATCCTATTCACTTTTTTATCTCGTTGTTGCTATTTTCATATTAGAACACCTTATAAGTTACTCATAATACAAAAATGAAAATTCCAAAATCTTTCTATTTCTCCTCATCGTGCACACTTAAATACTTGATAACTAACTGATTTGAGAATTGGATCATGTAGTTCCTAAAGCAAATGGAGAGGATATGAATGTATGATACCAAAACAAAGGATCACCAACCTACTAATAAGAGAATATTATCTTCCTTAGGCATAACTTTGATGATGAGCTAAGCCTACAGCAACCACCAAGCCCTTTGCTAAGGGAACGTCTATTATGCATACATGTGTATATATAGTAAGGTACGTACGTACTTCTAAGGGTAATTTTTTGTTCATTTGAAAGTATTCGTTCATTTTTGACAAATGATATACACTTTATACACCTCACGATCTTTAAATAAAGTATGTACACCTAGCTGAGTGTGTATAAGAATTTTCACTGCCTATCATTTCACCATGTATTTCTCCTATTGGTCCGGCCTACAAATAATGTGTATGTATGTGTTATCATATCATTGTTATTATTATATATATTATATACTCCCTCATCTTTGGTTATATTAAGGGCAAACATCTAGCTACACCTTTTTAGAATGTCACTACTTTTTGTACTGTTAATTTTTTCCCCATACTTTTTTTGACGTTACACTTGATAACACGTTTATATATTCATTTTATATGTTATATTTGCGGGTTTTTATCATGTTTTCTACATAGTTTTAATCTTTTAGAGCTATTATTCTTTATATTTCGATATTGTTCTCCTTGGTTTGTTTTATTTTGATTTTTGTAGGAATTGGGCTAGATTTGCTAGAGGTTTGCATTGATCGTGATTCGACTTGTTAAAGGGAGAAATTTACATACAATAATGGACATGGAAGCCACCTCCACGGCTTGCCTGTGGGCGTACAACTCTCTCCACGGCCATCCTGTGGCCAACTCGTTTTCACATGGCAAAGAGCAGCTATGGCAGCCTTCTCCACGGCCTGCCTGTGGTCGAACACAGCTCTCCACAGCCTACCCGTGGTGGCTCCTAATTGCTGCGTTTTAGGACCTTAATTATGTTAATTTAGAGTCCTAAGCCCACTAAAATTCCTAGGATATATATAGACTAATAACAAGATAGAAAGGGGAGACTTTTATCATCACAATTATTCCAATTTATACGTTGGTTTTTCTTGTTCTTCCAACTTTGTTCCATTGAAGATTAATTCAAGTTCTCCATTAATTCAAGTATTTCTTCTTCTCTTTCTTTCTTATTATTATTGTCATTATGTTTTCTTTCGTTAATTATTTCGTTTATTTAATCAACATGTGTGAGTAGTTTTATAATCTAGAGTTAGGTTGAACCCTAATATGGATTAATACGTTGTTTGATTCTCAATCCCATATTTATTTTAATTTATAATTCCTCTTTATTAGGGTTGGTTTTATCATCAATGATTAACTAGAAATAGTATTATTGAATGTGATTAGGTTTACAATGAAAGTTGATTCTTAATCGATTTTAGAACCCTAATTAAAAGTAAGAATCTTTATGCATGAAAATAGCTAATTATTCTTGCTAGGACTTATGGGATGATGTTCTTAATGTCTTTAATATGTATGACTCCATGAAAATAGGTATGATTGCATATTAGGGAAGTTATTAGTTGATCGAAAGAAACTCTTAGTATTTGTTGTAGGGAGCACCCGTCCTGTGGAATATCTTTGATTTGATTGTGGGAAAGGGATTATTTTGACGTATTGATCTATATTAGTGGGGATTCCTAATTCTAGGTGTTTTAGTTTATATTAATCTTCGTGTTAATTTATTTTCTTAATATTCCGTAGTTAGTAGTTAATACTCTTCATCTTTGAATTTGTTACTTGCTTAGTAATAACTTGAGTCTAGATAGTTTAGGTGAACCATAGTCTCTGTGGGATCGACCCTGACTTACCCTGCTACATAATTAGGAGGTCTAGTTAGGTATTATTTTTGTTAGGTGTGCGACCGCCTATCAACACTCAACTTAACACTCCATATATTTTTACCCCTTTAAACGTCATGACATTTTACTATTTTTAGGACGGCGGAAAAAATAAACATTTTCATATAAAACCTTTGGGTCTCAATAATACAATTCAATGGGGTTAAATTGTGAAAGCTAAGTGCTACAAAACAAGGACATTCATTTTGGATCTAAGTTGCATGTAGTCTTGTAGCATTGCGAAACATGTTTGTGCATGAGATAATCTATCTAGGGCTGTCTTATAAGCATACCATTCATTAGAATGTTTGTTATTGGACATCATAGGATAACGTATAGCGACACGTGTCACGTATTGGGTGGGGGATACTAGATATCTACTTCGAATTATATTAGAAAGGGAAAGAGTGATGTATGGATGAATACCAAGCGTATCTAACGATCATACTAAAGACATTATTCCTAAGATCCTACGTTCTAGGACACCCTGGCCATGCAAATAAATACCCAATTACAAAGGTTTTTTTTTTTTTTTTTTCTTTTTGTTTTTTTTGGGACACAATATCTATTTTATTTAAGATAAGGTTAGTTACTTCTTGAGTAAAAATATTTCATAAAATGAAGATAAAGGTCGAAGAGTTGAATCATTATATTAGTGTAAATTCATCTATGTTTGAACGAGATGATAAAATTATACTCTTGTACGTATTACTTATACGAGTATTATACTCATCTCATACACGTATACATACAAGAGTATTAATACTGATAATTTGATATTCTCGCTTTCTCGATACGCATGATTTGTGTCTCTATTCGGAATAAAAGACGTAAATATCAAAGTATGATAGATATTATTGTTAAAAGTTATTCGAAAAGAGATTTATGAATATCACATTAGTGATGATGACTTGGTGTTTGTTGTTGAATATA